TTGATGCTTCTCCACCAGTAAGGATGGATTAACCCAAACTTTTTGGCATGTTCTTAGTGTGGCCTTCTCCAGTGAGGGAAGAAGAGTGTTCTCTGTTTAACAACTCCCTGTGCATAACAAATACTGCTTTGTTTTGGTAGGTGTTTTGGAAGAAGCCAGGTTTTTTGGTATCGATTCACTAATTGAACATCTAGAAATAGCTATTAAGGTAATTCGTTTTCTTTAATACATGACTGCACATGCCCTATTCTTCCAGGCAATATGTAATGTTAGTCCTATCTATATTAGCTTTTAAACAACTCTCTCAACAGAATTCACAGCCAGCTGAGGATCATTCTCCTATATCTCGCAAGGAGTTTGTCCGATTCTTGCTGGCAACCCCAACCAAGTCCGAGCTGCGCTGTCAGGTGGGAAGATGCAGACTCTGTCTTGATCTGTAGTGATGATGTCTGGTGGGGAAATGCCCTGCAGCATCATTCTGGGGTTTCTGGTTTTGTTCTTAGGGTCTCAATTTCAGTGGAGCAGATCTTTCACGTCTTGATCTTCGATACATCAACTTCAAGATGGCAAACCTGAGCCGGTGCAACCTGGCGCACGCCAACCTGTGCTGTGCCAATCTTGAGAGAGCCGACCTCTCCGGATCAGTGCTTGATGTAAGAGCTGCTGTGTCTTGGGAAGTCCAGGCTGTCCTTTATTTTAAGGGAAGAGGAATTGGAACAAGCAGATAAATGTAAACCATGTAGCTCTTCAGTATTTTCTGCGATTGCTCTAGTTAGATCACTTCACAAGCTTTTTGATGCTATCTAAGGTAAAAAAAGGAGAAAAAAGGCACTGAGTAATAACTGTCTGCCTTCTTGATGATAGAGAAGTAATCGTACAGCAAGTTCTTGCACTTCCTCACAGTAACAAGGCTGTTAATAGGATTCACTTCCAAAACAGAAATGAAAAGTCTTCCCTGCTCATTCTTGGTATACTGCTCATTTTTGAGCTTTCACCAATCTCACTGATGTGTCTCTCTACCAGTGTGCAAACCTTCAAGGGGTGAAAATGCTGTGTTCCAATGCAGAAGGAGCATCTCTAAAAGGGTGCAATTTTGAAGATCCATCAGGCCTTAAAGCTAATTTGGAAGGTAAGGAGGTTTTGTGGAAACTGAACCACGTGTTTGTAAAGCTACTGGCACGTAAAAGGTTTGCTGTGGTTTGTACAATCCATGTCTTCATGAGACGGGGCCACAAATACAGGACTGAATGTGTGACCATATAATCATCCAGTTCCAAGTTCTACCTTGATCTCTATCAATTTACATGGCTCTGAGGAAGCATTGTTCTGGAGCTGCTGTGGTTCTGACTGTTTCTCCTCATGAAACTACTCTTTGTGTGTTTTAGGTGCCAACCTGAAAGGTGTGGACATGGAAGGCAGCCAAATGACAGGAATTAATCTAAGAGTTGCAACGCTGAAAAATGCAAAACTAAAAAACTGTAATCTTAGAGGAGCAACTTTGGCAGGAACTGATTTGGAAGTGAGTTACGATTCATTTAATATACTAACTAGTCAGCAGAGTCATTGCTGGCTTTTGGCTGAGGTCTCCAGCTTCAAACCAGACAGAGTGAACCAGTCTTTTTTCAGTCTTAGTGAGCTATGGATGATGTAAGGAATCACATCTCATTCTAGCCTCACTTTGGAAGGTGAGTCTAATGTCTTGGATTTGCCAGCACCCCAGAGCCACAGGAATGGATTGTATCATCTCAAAAGTGATGCATGGAAACATTGCTAAACTTAACTCTTAGCATGAGATCATCCCATCACTGACGAACTTAAGAGAAACTCAGTTGCTTGGGTTTTGGGGGATTTTTTTGATCCTGAGACACCATTTGTAAGACAGTGATGGAATCTTACCTGACTGGTGGCATGTGATACACTGCTGTCACAGTTAGAAACACAAGCTAGCTGGCTCTACAAGCTGTGTATGTGGCTGTTCTTCCTCAAGTACTAGAGAAGTATTCAGAGTAACGTTTGGTGGGACTGCAAGAGGCAGCTTCTTCCTGGCTGTGTTCAGCAAGCATTAGTAACGCCTGGAAGATAATTTGATACGAAGAGTTTAAGTCTTAACAACATTCAAAATAACTCCAGCTGCTACTGTGGAAAGTTACTTCTCACAAGAAGTAAATAAAACTCTGAACCTGAGAGACAGACGAGAAGTTTGCACTGAAATTTTTGGAGGTAGATGTGGTTTCTGTATAAATGGTGAAGTTTTGAACTAGGTTCTGGGTATGTTCAATTAACATTGATTTTTTCTTCTACCCTTTAGAACTGTGATCTATCAGGTTGTGATCTACAAGAAGCTAACTTGAGGGGATCTAACGTAAAAGGAGCTATCTTTGAAGAGATGCTGACACCTCTGCACATGTCCCAGAGCGTCAGATAGGGAAGAGAATATGCCGAAGAGGAAGGAATCAGAACATTTATTGTGACTTTCTTTACCTCCTCCCCTTATTAAGTTAGAAGTAATGATTATTAGACAACTTGCATTTGCAGTAGTGCCTAAGTAAACTCTTCTATGATCACTTTAGGGGGAGGGAGGTTTTGCTTAAAAGGTAGGAACAGAAAATGTCTGTTTCTACCTTTGTGAACAGAGTGAGGAAATGGGCTGGTTTGGGGGGGAGGGTTAAATAGATTCATTGTTTAGCATTGCCTCACTTTGGAATGCATTTTAATTTATAAAGCACAATATATGCAATTCTATTTATTAAATCTGTAGCTGCAATATGAATAGAAAATGTTATTCATGTATAGTAGCAACGAAGTTCAGGTTTACAGTTAGGCTAGTGTATTTACAGTTAGTTTCTTCATTCATGCAGCGTGTTAAATGACTCATGTGGTTTAGACAATGTCCACAGGATGTTTTCAGGTACTCTTCTGGGGTGAAAACAGTAGTTAACTGTCATCGCAGGTAATATATTGCCTTGTAGTAGTTTGAATGCAGGTATAGAACAGCTTTATCATCTTCTAAACTGTGCAGGGGAAGCTGCTTCCACTGCAGGGATCTGCCTACGCAGCAACTCAACCCCCCCCTGCTCAGAAATTGGATGTCTTCTTTAATCCTTTCCAAATTAGTGTGAAATTGCACTATCGGTCACAGCTGGTAAGAAGAATTCTCTCGCTTTCAGATGTCCTAACCACTGCAAAGTGGAGTACCTGGAGAGTTTTCATTCTTTGTGGGGAATTAAATGTACATAGGGAAATACAATACTGTCACCAAAGTAGAGATAAGCATTGTGGCCACAGCACTTGCTCCATCCTCCCATTGTTACTCCAGTATATGAATATATAGCACCAGTTTCCCCTCAATGTACTATGCAAATACTCCTGTACACTGAATCCTTAAAAGCATGGGCATAACCCGTTTCCCAGCCAGATCTTAAGTGTTCCACTTTAGGCCTGCTTAAAGTGGCTTTAAAAGCATCTTGCGTAGGGCAGAGTACCCTTTCCACAACTGCTTTACCTGTGAGCAAATAGGGAACTGTGTGACTTCTGCAGTGCAGAAAGCCTCACAGCATCTCTTTAAGTGGTGGTGCACTTCATTTAATAAGCTGTTTCCACTGTAGTGTCAATCTAGTTCTCATCTAGCACGTTTATTTTATATACACAATCAAAAAGCACATGAAGAAACTATACCAAAAAAAAGAAGGTGCATCAAGAACTCTTACCTCAGATGCTTACTTAAAACACCCCAAAGTTAAAAGTAACCTTGAATCTAAGCAAATACAGCTATTACTGGGAGTTCAGAACCAATGTATCCCAAAACTTACAGAATGTGACACTGTTGGCAATAGCTTGTCACTTGGGTGGGTTTTACTTGCAGTGCAGATTTCCTGTCCTCTGAGCAGAACTCTTCTTGTCTCAGTAGTTGTTACGAAAATGCTGCTTTGCCATTGATAAAGAAAGAGGAGTTCAGGACCAGCGTATGATTTGTTGGGGGGAATTGCTGGATTCTCCCTTACTTTCAAGTAGGGTTGACTCAGGCATATGTCATGAACTTCTGGGACTCAAAATCCCAGTGTTATGTGGGTCAGGATTGGGATTTTCCTTCCTCAAGATTCCCAGGCCTCTTGATCTGGCTCCAGGACAACACCAAATCCTTGGTGAAATACAACTCTAGATTCAAGGGAAATAGTTGAGCGTGATTTTGGAGTCCTTTCTCCCACCTCATCGCTTTCATCGAGAGTGATGTGTATGTTGCAGTAGAAGAAGATTCCTAGGGCTAGAGAAATAAATGAATTATTTTTCTTTATCATATTTTGTAGTTAGCAGAAGTAAAATATTGTATGGAAAAAAAATCTATTTTCATAATCACTGTGTATAAACTATATTTGAACTTTCACTGAAGCACTATGTTTTGAATAATCACAGCATGTGGCATCATTCATTCACAGCTGAACTTGAGGTACCTCTTTTGCTATGACAAAGCTGTATGAATAGCCCAGCGTGGCCTATTCAGAACTTGCAGGTTCCAGCCTAATTTAAATTGCATTAATAAAAGTGTGAAATATAGAAGTGTCTTGGTTGTCTTGTTGTACACTGGGAGTTATCCACACTTGAGCACTTACTTTATCAGCTGTCTGAGTTTTAGATGTCTTTACTTCTGCACAGGCAATTGGGTTTTTAACTTGTCATTCATCTGCAACACTTCCCAGCTTTTCTTTGATCCCACCCTTCCTATTTGGTTACTAAAATAGCTGGAGTCAGAATTTACATAGGTATGTGCACCATTTAGAACACTTAGAGATGATCATCACACAGCACAAGCAGCTAAACTTCACAGGGAAGTGCCAAAGCACAGAAAAAACCCCTGTCCTTGATTTTGGTCTATGAAGTGCTCACTATTTCAGTCAAATAACTGTGGCACAACAGGACAAACACAGCACATCTGTGTAAGTGCTGTAGAGCACGTTGAGAACAAAACGGGAAAATCCAGTGAGAAGCTGGAGTTTCTCACCTCCAGTACACATCTTGAGGTTAGGAATGCTGCCAAAATCAGTGGGGTTTACTGGTTTCCATTATACTGGTCCTTAAAAGTATTGGTGGGCAAACAAAAGCAGCTGTAATGTGTTTTTTAACCTCCCAACTCCTTTATGTAAGTTACTAGCTGTGGCTTAGAGTTTGAGAGATGCACAACAGCTCACTACCAACACAATTACGTGCCCTTCCTGCCACTCTTTGGTAGGTCAGCTCTGTAGCTAGAACAGAAACCTGTGGAGAAACACAGCTGCAGAAAGATGTTAAGGCTCGTCATTAGACTGAGTTAAAGTGGTGGGTTAATAAGAGGTGCAATTACTGGGCTAAGCAGCCCCCTTCTCTCTTTTAATGTCATCCCTCAGGATGAACAAATCTATTTACATTAAAATAAACTTAATTTTTGGGAGGCTCATCAGGGAAGAAAGGAGCTACAGGAAAACCTCCCTTCTAAAGCCATATGCCTACGCAGGGGTAACATTTCTCCTACTGAAACCACTATTTTCACAGCTTGATCAGTTTATCAGCTGAAGTTAAATGTTGGCTACTCTTGCCATGAGTAGGAGGAGCATTAGAGCAGGAAGAATTACTCTTTGCTAGTCACTAAATCTTCCTTAAATTATTTACTTTTTAAATTACTTTTAATCCATTAATGCCAAAGAGGTCATGGGAGCAGGAAGAGAGGAAGTTTGAAGAACACTGAACATGATCCATTCAACTCTGCATAAAACAATGCAGAGCAAGTCGAAATAGCTGCCAGGTGGGTAAAAAAAATACACTTCTGCAGCCAGAATTGCTGAATTTAACTCCTGCATGCAAATAGCTGCCAAGTCCTTCGTACAACTGCAGCGCATGCACTCTCAAGACTGAAGAGCATGCATCCTTAAATGCACACGTGAGACCTTGTTACAGTCTTCCAGTATCTAAAGGGGCTGACAAGAAACCTGGAGAGGGGCTTTGGAAAAGTGATGGAGGGACAGGACAAGGGGAATGGCTTTAACCTGCCAGAGGGGAGATTGAGATGAGCTCTTGGGCAGAAGCTCTTCCCTGGGAGGGTGCTGAGGCGCTGGCACAGGGTGCCCAGAGAAGCTGTGGCTGCCCCATCCCTGGCAGTGTTCAAGGCCAGGTTGGACACAGGGGCTTGGAGCAACCTGCTCTAGTGGAAGGTGTCCCTGCCCGGGGCAGGGGTTGGAGCTGGAGGAGCTCTGTGCACGTCAAATCACAGGCTCTTGTTTAAGCGCGGAAGAACTGTTTCCTTCCTGCCTGATAACACAGAGAAAGACTAAGCTGAATTCCTCACCCATTTCAAGACCTCCTCAACAACTTCCAACATCACCCAAGAACTTTTACTTAAAAATCAGAACTCACTGCAAGGAAGGATTCTGTATTTTCCATGGGGCAGCAGCAATCAGCTGGATTTGAATGGCAGCTTTATAGCCTCTTAAAGAAAGGCTGTTATTTTTATTACTCTTAGAGAAACCAGCTGAGTTTAATAGCTACACAGGGGTGTTCCAATTATGTGCTTTACTCCTGCTGCATTACAGCACTTTTAAGAACAAAATTGCAGCCTGGGAGATAGAATTAGATAAAGTGACCTGCTGTGAAGGGTTTGGCCGTGGGGTGGTTGTGTATAAAACGTGAGACAAGCACACTCACAGGGCATTTTCAAACGGAGAAGAGTTGGAGTTACTCTGCAACCTCTCTCAGCCAGCAGGTAAGGGGACTGAACAGCGTACCATGTTCCTTTCTTACTTACTCAGTGCTTACAGGTACCTGTATTAGAAGAAACTTGTGTTAGAAGAGACTGCAAATAGCACTTTTTAAGGAGCAGGGACATTAGAACAGAAACTGGCTGAACTTAACACATCTGTCCAACCCCAACAGGGACTTCCATGGAACCTTTGAGGTCCAGACATTCTGAAAGCTCTGAAAGGGTGATCAAAAATCCTAATTCAGATCTTCATCCAGATTTTTCAGATATTAAATCTTTTTATAAGGAGCTAATCCACACTTGGAGAGGCTCAAAATCCAGCTCCCACATCAGCACAATGCCACTGGGGTGCAGAAGATCAGAACTGGAGATCCAGAACTGCAACATCTCCATAATTCTCTAAGATCAAAATGGAGCTGTAATGTTGTTATAATCAGAAAGCTGTTGTGTTCTCTCACAGGATGGAGAAGTCCAGGAAGATCTTTGTCAGTGTCCTCCTGTTTGTCCTGTCTGTGGAAATCTGCTTGGCTCAACACTGGTCTTATGGCCTGCAACCAGGAGGAAAACGGAGCGCCGAAAACCTGATGGAATCATTTCAGGAGGTGGGTTCTAGACTGTAGAACACCCTGTTGCTTTATCTAGGATCCCCTGTCTGTAAAAGATGCAAGCAAATAAGAGGTGACATCACTTCAGCGTGTATATGTGTGTCTGTCTATATATCTATATATCAATATATCTCTATGTCTATGTATCTGTACATATGTACATACACACACACTTGTTTAAAGCAGTAATTGGAAAGTAATTGTTGTTAGGGTGAGATGACATTTGACAGCTCTACCAGAAGACAGAGAGGCCTGGGCAGCCTGCTCCAAAGGAGAGATGGACTCTGACTTCCAGGTTAAACCTGATTCCATTCTCTCCCTGCATTTCAGCCAATACTCTGATGGGCTGTTTTAGACAACATTCATCCAGAGATGTGGCAAGAGGTGGCTGTCCATGAATTAGAGGGTCAGCAGTTAGATGACAAAGCTGATGTGGAAGGTTCTGTCCCCCAGTGGTTTTCCCACCCTTTCTAGTACATCACATGTAGTCCCTTGTAAAGGTAGTTCCACTGTCCTGATTTTAAGCTGGCTGTGGCACCTGGGAAAGAGGTGAATGGAAGTTGTGCAGTGGAACAGTTTCCTCTTCATCTGTACCAGGGTAGAGTTGCTTTAGCAGAAAAACATCTCCTTTCTCAAAGGCTGTATCACTTCCCACTTCAGATTGCAAATGACATGGAAAAAATCAGGGAAGTGCCGAGGACGGAGTGCCCAGGCTCGTACCAGCATTCCAGGCTCAGTGCTCTGAAGGAAATCGTGGTGAGTAATGGTTGTAATTTTATCCCTATGGGAAAACTAGGGGATGGGTGCAGGCTGGGAATGTACATGGAGGGAAGAGAAAAAAGGCTGGTGGAGGAGGAGGAAGAGGCATTAAGTTCAGTTCACATGTGGCAATGCTGGCTCTGCCCCAATGTCTGCATCATCCTCCAGTACCTCGGTCCTGGGACGGGGCTACATTATCCTCATGCTCCGGTGTAGCAATGTCATTACCCACTAAATCAAAACCAAAACAAAGTCAAACACATTCTACCTTAATATAAATCTATGCAGCATTCACAGATGCTTAACTTCAAAAGGCACTCTTTGCCAGCTGAAGGATCAAGCCATATGGAAGCTGCTGCTCCCAAGGTCCCTAGGCTGGGAAATGGATTTTCCATTAGATGCTCTAATGCCATGACAGCAGAGACTTCACATCCAAACTAACTGCCACAGAAAGAATACTCTTAAGCAAAAATGTGCTCTTTAATTAATATAGCAACACCTTGATGGGGCCAGATGGTCACCACTTCCCGGGAAGTGTCTCTGAGCTGTCCTAGAAGTTGGAACTCTCAATCTGTACTTTGTTTGTGAAGCCAAGAGCAGAAGTTTCAAGTACACACTCCAGCTTTCACTGAGGAACCTGGCCTGTATGAAGGTTCATACACTCAGTAAGAGTGCTACACACAGGGCAGGGCCTGGCTGCTGCTGGATTTTCATGCAGGAACTACCTGAACTACCTAAACCCAAAAAGGTGTTTTTCAGGTCATCTTTAAACCTCTTTGTACGGAACATAAAATGGAACATAAAAGGTTGGACAGGGCTTTGAGCAACCTGCTCTAGTGGAAGGTGTCCCTGACGGGTTGGAACTGGATGAGTTTTAAGGTCCATTCCAGTCCAAACTATTCTAGGATTCTTTTTCCAACCCAGTTCTCAGGTTTGCTGCTAATCTTGCACATCAGTATAAAAGCTTCTAAACCTCAGCATCGAACCCTTAGTTTGCATATCTTAGACCTGTAGCATAGTCTGAACTATGTGGCCTTATTTCTAGCTGCTTGATGACACTGAAAACAAAGTAATGCTTCTTCCAGATGCAGCTTTTCCAATGTAACACATTCCTGGAGATGCTACAAGAATCTTATGCAATGAAAGGGGAGGTGTCTGGGAATGGTCCACCCTGTGGAAAAAACTTGTCCAATTATCTTCATCATTTCCTGGAGAAGCTGGTAGTGAGCACAGACAAAAACACACCTGGCTAAGGCACATCAGGGCAAACCAGAACACGTTCAGCCAGTGCATCCACCCAAAACACCTCAGGCTTTCAGCTCTGAGGCAAGAACATACAGAAATAAACCTAGACACGAGACCAGATCCAGCAGGATGTGACACGGGAACGCAGTTTCCATTCAAACAGTACTAAGATACACAGAGAACGATAACAGGGCAACTGTGCCACTTCGTAATGACCCTGTGATGCTTTTGCTTTCTTGTCTCTGCTCTCTTGGCCAACTGCTTAAGCTCACAGAAATGCTGCTTTGTGCAAGTTCATGCTGCTTGTCCTGAGCTGCTGTCAAAGTGTAGTGCTCAACAGCTGCTCGGTTGCACTCCAAGGACTGCTGCAGTGGTGGACCCACCAACAGATGTGAAGTTGGTCATGCACTTTGGGATGAAAAGGGCCATTATAAGTGTCAGTTACATTATACTGGATGATCAGATCCCTGGGCAGGTGGCAGAGAGACCATGTCGGGTCAGATTTATGTCATTCTAATCCTCCTCCCATGCAGACCACAGTATGAGCATCTGAGCAGGCTTTAAAACCCTATTATGAGTTATTTCTTCTCTTTAAAAGAAGTATATGATGTGTGTGTCTACAGGAAAGTCTGATGGAAGAAGCCAGACGAAAGAAGACTTAAACCCACGAAGCCAAATGGAACAATGGACCCAGCATAAAATGTCAAAGCTATCAAAATCCTCTTCCAAAACCCCAATTCTCTTCAAATGGCCTTTGCTCAGATTGCTTTCTGTGAATAAATCCTCTGCAGTTGCACGTAAATAGTAGAAGATAATTGTTGTGTCCATTACTAGTTTGTATGTAAAAGAGAACACGCTCCAGTCCAGTGGTGGGGACTCAGCAGCAGAGGGTCTGCTTTGTGTCCTGCCATGAGAACTTGGACACGACAGCTTTTGTTTCACATATGCAGACAATGCCTGGCCAAGGGCTGTGTCTGATCTCACTGCTCTCTGGATAAAACATACAAGTGGGATGTAATTCCACTCGCCCTTCTGTAGTCCTCGTATGAAACACCTTTATATGCTCTTTTTTTCACTGGTTCACTCATAAAAACTACATTTATTTTAAAAAGGTATTTACAAACTTTACAACAGTTAATACATTTTAAAACCCATGAAAATTTATACACCTTGCTTTACAGTCTTAGTGAATCAGGTGTCATTTACCCAGAGAGATGCAGACTCCCTTTCCAAAGCTTAGCTCCTACTCTCTTCAGAGCCAGTTTAAAAGCTGTATTTTTTGCTGATTCAATTGCAGAGAACTAAAAGAAAGAGGGAAAAGAAGAAGAAGGTCTTTGCAGTCTGCAGAGGTGCGTTTTGTAACCAAACCATCACATCCAGGATCTCAAACCACTCACAAAATACTGTTACACAACAGCCATATTCTCCTGAATTCAAGACGAACAAGTCCCAGGGTTTATCATGTCATTAAACCTTTGCAATACCGACAGTGAAAAACTACATCAATTAATACCATGCATGTTGGGGCTGAATTTCAGAGCTGCTGAGGACTTACACCTCTGCTTAAGAGAACAGACAACTGCAGACCATGCATGTGAAAACCAGGTTTGAAGAATGCAGTCAGGCATGTCCAGGGTTTCAGACAGCCTTAAATCATGACAGTCAGACCAACACAGCATCAACAGATGCTTTTCACCTTTTATTAAGCTCCTCTATACTCCTTTGTGTACTCTCTGTAGTGCCACCAAGTCCTAAAGCTGCTTTAATGTTAACAGGAGCAGCATCAGTTGAACCTCACGTGCCTTTGAAAAGCACATGCAGCAATGAAACCCCATTATTCCTTTTCTTTCTCTTTCCCATGTAGTCCTAGGAAAAGCTCACCTTGATCCACTAGATAGTTTGGTCTGCAACAGTGAACATTAAATAGTGAAGGTTTTTAATTAAAAGAATTAAAAGAAGGCAGCAGTAATGGGTCAGGAATGCTTTCACCATAAAAAAGCTTACAGTTAAATTACAGACATCTTAAACTTACTATTTCCATTTACACTTATAAAAATAAATAAGGAGAGAGAATGTGAGCCATCATCACTCCAAGTCTAACTCACTGTTCATGTGTGGAGCACACACTGGGCTGCACAGTGTGAAGGTCGTTAGATGCAGGTTCTCCAAACCCACTGCATAGACACGACAGTGTTTTCTGCCACTGCAGATCACAGAGCTGTTCTCACTGGAATCGGTGTCCTTTCCTAATCCCATAATCCACTGAAATGGAAAGCTGTCTGTTTCCCTCCTCCCTGATGTGGATTAGAGCCTGTAACATTTTTAAAGGAATTTATCACAGCATGACAAATTTTAATTAAAAGCTCCAGAAAACAAGTGTTGAGCATATTTCTCCAAAGCAAAACAAAATCCTCTAAGACTTGAAATGTAACACCAGCTTTGAAGAGCACAGCTATGAAAGGGGATTAGAGTTTGTCTTCTCTGCAGACTCGATATTTAACTCAGAGGTTTCATTCAAACCCCATGAATTGGGTGGAAACGCTGCTCTTTGCTTTCACTTCTGGTGTGTAGAGATGACAACATTAATGTTCTACTCCTATTTCTAGCCCTCCAGTTTAAAAGACAGTAGATGACATTTCCAAGAGCATGTAATAAACATGGGAAGGTGATTCTGACTTTGAAAATGAAGTAGTGAGACCTTAAATTGTCTCTGAAAGTTAAATCTCAGCATTTAAGTCAGGGAAGCACCACAGCAAAGAGCAGAACGCTTAAATCACCAGTGGGCTGGTGGGATTTCTCCCAAGTGTGGGCACTTAATTTCACTTAATTAAAATGAGCCAGGCCCCATCCTTATTCACACACTTAAATGCCCAACTGCCTTTAAAACCTGACACTTAGAAGACAATGCTCTTTCCTAAAACTGGCACAAAGCCCCACAGCATCCGTCCAGAGTCCATCGCGTACCTCTAAGCAGACTGTGCTGACTTACATCAGTTGAGAACAGAACTCCTCACATACCACAGGCAATAATCCATTTATCAAAATGGAACACCTATTTGTGAGTTAGTTTCCCAAAGGCAAGAAGGAGAAACAGGGAGAGTTCACAGCACTTCAGACTCTAGAACAAAAATAATGCTAAGGAAGGAAAAATCCCCCAACCTTAAACCCCTTCCTGGCACAGCAGATTTGCCAATGAAATGCCCAAAATATCCCAGGAAGGAAAATCTTGCTCTGTGCTCTTTAGGGCACCAGCTGTTCCTTTCCTTCCAGTTAGGGTGATGCCACAGCTACAACAGTCTCCAACTGGCCAGACAACAAAGGCAGCAAGGAGAGAAGCCTGACCTGTGTGGACAGCACACCAAGCAGAGCATACAGGAAGATAACACCTTCACTGCTGTTTAAGGAGTTGGCTCTACAGTAAAAGCCAAAGATCAAAATACAAACGAAAGGCTTGTTCACAAACCTAGTCTATAAAACTGCAAAAACCCCCCACCCCCAACAGTGAGAACCAAGTCGCCCCAAGTTAAAGAGCATTATGGAAAAGGTCACTGAAGATCAGCTGAACAATTCTTCCCAAGGTCAGACTTCCTCCAGTGAGGGCTTTTTGCATGGACTAGTTCCCTCCTCCAGGAAAAAAAACCAATGTATGAGTTGAAGTGATTAAAGCAGATCAAAAAAGTAGGGAAATAAGACTCAAAAGTCACTTGGAACCAAAATCCCCAAAGCTCATAGCTAGTTTGTTTTTGTTTCCCCACAACAGACAAACCCTTAGCTGAGATTCTCACACAGAGTCCTTTGTTTCTGCTGGTCTACCACAGGAGCTAAAAGCCAACCTGATCTGAAAAAGAAATGCACCCAAGAATGAGGTAACAGGCAGATGTAGAATGGGGGAAGGCACTGAATTAGTGAGAGGTGGAGTTAATACCCACTCTTCTACAATTCAGACCACATCCTGATGCTCTGTCTCAAAGAAAATTCTAACCAAAGACAAAAAGTTCTTGTTCAAGTGAAAAGTTTCAGAGGACCTTTTAGTTCATGTGTGCAGCAGAAGGAAGACAGTGGTTTCAAGAGGAGGAAAGCACCCTTTAGTTCATGTGTGCAGCAGAAGGAAGACAGTGGTTTCAAGAGGAGGAAGTGGACAAAAAATGAAAGACAAGAAAACCCTGTGGTTTTCAAGTCAAGCAGCATCTATGTCCAAGAACATAATGTGGAGCTGACAAGTCCTACAATGCACCAGAGGGAGGGGGGCAACCACGGTCAAGTTGTCCAGGAAGGTTTCCAAGATTTCCCCTGAGAAGGCAACAACCCAGAAGGCAGTTGTACGTGTGCTCCAGCAAACACGGCTGCAGATGTGTGTGATGTGACAGCAGGACAACTTCCAAACAGCTCCAACCTGTTCTGTGATGTGAATCCAACAGGATCCGTCCATGAGAGCAGTCTGTTTCACAGAGCCATGCAGGCACCAAAGCAAATGCAGCTTCTGCAGGTTTCTTGAACTGGAGCCACACTGGAGCCAAAGGCATGTGTAGGAACAAAAGAAAGGGCTACTTCAGTCTGAACAGAAACCACCGTGGGGTTACTTTGGTTTTGTTTCTCCCTGAACAGAGGAGAAATACAGTGCAAGAGAGTTTTAAACCAAATTGTCTTCTGGCTTGTAAGGGGCAGGTCCCCACCTCAGTGCTGCAGCCCAGAGCAAGTAGCCCTGAAAGGTGCAAAATGAGTAGTACTGGTCACACATGGGGATGTCCTGGTTTGTACCAGCCAGACTCCAGTGGCAGCTCAGGCACAGAGGGATGCTGTGTCTGAGGCCTGTCTGGTCCAGAAATAACAGTGGTTTTTGTGTTGAGTTTCTGCTCACTATGCAACTGTGAGGACACACTAACAGGGTGCAACAGCCACCTCCTGCATGGATCATGTGAACTGAGAAACATTCAAACCTAAGATTGTACCATTTTTTCTCTGTACAAGGACTGATGCTGATATTCAGACTGAGCAGGAAATAAATAAGTAAAAGAGAAATTAAACACATGATCTCATTGTCCAAGGAAATAAAAGCTCCAGAGAGGTGGAGGAAGCAATAGGAACTAGGTGGTGAATGGGCAAGTCTTCCACATGCATCCCAGATCTAAACAGCTCCTTCAAGCCCAGTGGCTGTTAAAAACCCAGATTAAGGGAGGCTAGAAAACAAAGTGCAAGTACTGCCACAAATGGGTGCAGGGAAAAACCAGGATGAGAATTAGCTATGTCTTTGTGAATTTATCCAGCCAAAGTAAAGGTTACAGTAACTGTCAGGCTTTGTTTCTGAGGTCAGGATGTATAGCTAGATCTGTGCACTCCATCCTCTCAGTTGCTGGTACCAGTACAGTGCTAGCACCAGTGCAGCTTCTACTCTTCCCACATACTTACTGGTGAGAGGCACCTTTTGGCATCCTATTAAAAAGCACAAGATGAAACATTCTACCAAGCCCCAGACGAAAGCACAAACCAGGTAGGTAACATAATTCAGGGTGGAGTATCAACTGCTCTCTAGTGTTAAAACCAGAATCAACAGTGAAATTATGACAAAGTACTGGTGAACCTAAACCCTCCATTGGGAATGAGCAACTGCCACTACTCAGAGCAGAGATGGTAGATGTATGTATTTAAGGTGAAGGCAGAATGT